TACAGAATGATAACCCAGCAGTTCTCATATTTCTTGTCTTTAATGACACTTTCCCAAACCCACGTGCTTCTTCATGTAACAGATTGACTCATTTTTCACTCGCAATGTGTTTGAGCTCAATAAAGCCAGGCTTTCGTGTCCCGTGCCCCACTGGAATTGCCTTTATGCTGGCATTACCTATGGGCATGCTCATTGTACTTGATATCTCTGCAGTGTCCGTTAGAGTTGGCCATTCTTTCTTTCCATCGCATTGAACATATGAAACATATGCATTTGTAGGTCTAAAGTTATTTACACGTTTTAGTTTGGGTCAGTCTGGAGCCATGTGGGTATTTCTCCTCCCTGGCCACGGATTCCTTCTCTGTGTTGTTCCTGCTTTCACTTCCTCCGGAGCTCTCTGTCATAGGCCCTATTTTTGTTCGGGTTACAGTCTCCCTCTCAGAGATCCCATCTAGCCTTAACCATTTAAATGTCTTCGCCATGGGGCGAATGTTTGGCCCCATGGCAAAGGCGCTCCTTGCAGTGTCCATATGCCAGGTTGCACTGCCTGGCCTCAGGTCTCAGCTCCGTTTCCAGGCTCCTCGTCCTGTTGATGCATTTCCTAAAGAATACTGCTTATGCTCCTGGACCCAGTTTCCAGATCCTGGCTGCAGCCTGGTGCAGCCTGGTGCAGCCTGGGCTCCTGCAGGCACTTGCGGAGTGTAGGAGCAGGTGGACGCTATCGTGTGCTTGCTTACTTACTCTCCCTGTCCCCTTCCCTCTGTGTTTTTTTTTTGTCACCCTCTGCCTTTTATATAAAATGGAAACCCATACATTAACATGTATAAATATCTTGTGAGTGATGATTTGTTTTATATGTGGATCTTGAGACTACACTCCTATGAATTTCAGATTCATGCATATAACCCCTAGCGAGTAACTCTTTTGGATGCCTTATAACCACTTCACACTTCACATGGCTGGGACACAGTTCCTGATTTCCATCCCCATGTGTTCCTGCTCTTGGCTTTTGTTACCTCAGGAGTGGTGCCAGCGGCTTCTCGGAGACACAGGCTCCAAGCCAGGGGATCATTGTGGATCTCTGCCGTTTCCAGATCTTCCACATCTGTAGCACGTCCTCCTGTTCCCTTTGCTTTCGAGATGAGAACACATTCATTCACTCATTGTGATGTGGGGTACTGATGTCCTAGAGCAGATTTTCTCAACCTGATGCCATCAGCGTTTTGAACAAAATCATTTTTGTTGTAAGGAACTAGCCTATGCCCTGTTGTGAGTTTAACCCCATCCTTGGACTCTTTGTCAGATTCTAGTAGCAATCCATACTCCGTTGTAAAATTCAAGAGATTTTGAGCACTGACACTGTGGCATAGTAAGCTAAGCCCCTGCCAGCCTCCCTTACGGCACCAATTCATGTCCCAGCTGCTATAGTTCTGATCCAGCAGCAGAGAAGGACCAAAGTTCCTGATCCCTTGCACCCACATAGCAGACCCAGAAGAGGCTTCTGGCTCCTGGCTTCAGGTAGGTCCAGCTCTGGCTGTGCAGCATTTGGAGAATGAACCAGCAATCGAAAGATCGCTCCCTCATACTTCTCCAACCTCCCTCTCTCTGTAATTCTGGCTTTCAAATGAAAAATAAATCTTAAAAATAAATAGTCCTTGGTCAGTGAATTGGCTCAATTGACTAATCTACAACCTGCAAGTACTGAGATACCATATGGATGCCAGCTTATGTCCCAGCTGCTCCACTTCCCAACCAGGTCCCATGTTTTTGGCCTGGGAAGGCAAAGGAGGATGGCCCAAAGTCGGAGTCCTGAAGAAGCTCCTGGCTCCTGGCTTAGGATCAGCTCAGCTTGGGCTGTCACAGTTATTTGGGGAGTGAAACAGCAAATGGAAGATCTATCTGTGACTCCTTCTCTCTGTAAGTCTTCCTTTCCAATAAAAATAAATAAATCTTGAAGAAAGAGAAAGAGAGGAAGGAAGGAAGGAAGGAAGGAAGGAAGGAAGGAAGGAAGGAAAGAAAAAAAGAAAGAAAGAAAAAAAGAAAGAAAGAAAGAAAGAAAGAAAGAAAGAAAGAAAGAAAGAAAGAAAGAAAAAAAAGAAAGAAAGAAAGAAAATGAAAGAAATTGCCTTTAAGTACAAAACATGTGCAGGAGCCAGATCACGGCTGACACCCACGGCCCTACACGGTCTTCCATCTCTTCTTGCCTGCTTTGCTATAATTGAAAACCAAGCAGGTCTTGCTTTTCCTTTTTTTTAATTGACCCCTACATTTCATTCTCTACATGATAGACTTTTCAGAAACCATTTTCTGTCATTTCCCTAATGAAATGATTCCCCGAGATTAAAGCGCATCCCTTCGGTGTCCTTCCAGGCTCTGCGTGCTGTCAGCATTGTTCATGCCTCCTGTGACATCTCGCCCCAGTCCTGTTCCATCCTCACCGTTGCTCAAGCAGACGGGACTTGGTATGAAGAATCTCTGCCTGGAATGTCTGTTTCACCGTTCCGATGTCAGCTTTTGTGTTTCCTGTTAGAGAAAACAGATCCCAGACAACCTGCTTGACCTGTGTCGTTCCAGCTATGTTCTGAATCCTGATAATATCCCTTTGGAAGTCAGCGGTACCTGAACAGTATTTCCTGTCAAGGTTCCTGAGGGTGAGTGTGAGCATTGAGTCCAGGTACACTCACATGATGAGAAGGTCGGGGGCCAGGAGAACACGAAGGGGAAGGAGAAATGAGAGAGGCTGCGGCAATCTGAAACAGAAATCCCGGCTCAGCAGCTAGCTGATGTAGCTGTCATGGTGGGCAGGGCGTGAGAACGGTGCTTTTGTTGTGCTGGTCCACTGAGATATCCGAGTTTGCTTTTGCAGTATATTAACATATTAATCAATACTGTGCAAGCTAACTTCTTGAATGTAAATGCGGAAAGGAAGCCTTCCACTTTCACATGCAGAGCTCCCGAGGGCCAGCATCATTTGGACCTTTCTTCTAGAAGAGCAATTATGTCAATGAGTATAGTGATTTTTCCATTTTCCTAAATGGAACGGCCATTTAGGGGTTCTTATTTTCTGATTGCTTTTAATAACATTTATAACAGTTGCTCCAACTAGTACTCTGTTAATTAGCTTTCTGAGAAGAGGACTTCGTGAGGCAAGCACTCCTGTCCCTTTCTGATGTAGCGATGCATTCAGTGTATGGCATGGTGAAGTGCCTTCCACACAGCTGCTCTAACTAATGCACCTGATGGGCTGTGGCCACGGGGACCGCACCCTCCACTGGGCCAGTCTGAGATCGCCCAATGAATGTGGAAATGGGTTTCTTTACTGAAAGTCCAAAATATCTTTGAAAAAGCTGGGTGGAGGAAAGGATGTTCACTCAGGGCTGCGGGGGAGACTTTGCAGGTGCAAGGGTCCTTGCTGAGAGGACCCGGAGCCCAGGCCAATCTCCTGGGTTGGTCTCCAGCCTTCTCTGCTCCAGAAAGCTGGGTGGGCATGGAAAAAACCCTGTATAATGAGTGCACCCAGAGAAGCTATTTTTATCTCCGCAGCGTAGATGAGCACATCCGGGCACAATGGGGAGGACCTATAATGGTGTAATGGTTGCAAATCATTTTGGGAATGATGAATTCGGACGAGTTTTATCCAGATCTGTCCACATTTGATGAAAACTCAGGACTTTGTCATAGCTGGGGTACACAGTGAATGAGAAAGGCCAGACAGTGGTTTGAGCATCACTTTAAGGCAGTGTGGTTTCTGAGTGCGGCAAACTGGCCCCTTGAGCATTATTTGGCAAAGTCTGGAAACATTGTTGGTTGTCAAGACAAAGAGGAATGGGACTCTGGGCTTGCAACTGGAATATAGGCCAGAGATGTTGCTGCACCATCTCAGGGATGCCCAAGACAGCATCCCAGGAAAAAAGAGGGGTCCCTTGCAAATGTCCATCCTGCCAGGAGACAGCCCTGCCTTACAGGGTTTTTTTTTTTTTTTTTAACTTCCTTTTCCCCCAAGATTTACGTATCTGAAAGGCAGAGTTTCAAGGTAGAGGGAGAGTGAAAGCAAGAGAGCTCTTCTTTCAGCAGGTTCACTTCCCAAACAGTCCTGCTGGCCGGAGCAGGCCAGGTTGATGTCAGGAGGCAGGAACCGCATCTGGGTGTCCCACGTGAGACGCAGGGGCCCAAGCACTGAGCTGTCTTCTGCTGCTTTCCTGGAGCAGCAGCTGGAAGCTGATTGGGATGCAGACTCCCACAGGGATGTCTCAGCAGGCAGCAGAGTAATTTGATGTGGTCAGGACTGGGAGCCTTTTCTTAAGAAAACAACATTCCTAACACACACACACACACACACACACACACACACACACACACACACACACACACACACACCACACCACACACACACACACACACACACACACACACACACACACACACACACACACACACACACACACACACACGATGCTGAGCCTCGTCCTCCAACAAGGAGGAAGCCCAGAAGGGTTCTTCAGATCCACCTGTCAGCCTCTGTCATCGGTTGGTTTTAAAGACAACTGCTGCCCGTCCCTGAGCAGCACTGCACCTTCGGCACCAGGCCGACAAGTAACCGAACCTTAGATTCTGCAGCCTCAGGTTCTCCCTGTCCAGTCCTCAGCCCCTCCCTCCCCCGGCCAGGAACTCCGTGGTCCGAGGGTCGGAGCACCTGTGGGGTGGAGAGGGAGAAGATGGAGGCGCAAACGCCCCCGCGTTAACGCCAGCGGCCGGGCGGGCGTGGGGAGGCAAGGGTCCTCGGTCCAGCGGCTGGGGCTGGGGCGCGCAGGAGCAGGCGCGCGCCCTCCGCTGCGTGGCCCCCGGCCTCGGGCACACCGTGCCGCCCCGCGCCGCGCCCGCCGCCAGGACCCGCCCCTCGGCCGCGCCGGGCGAGGCGAGCCGGCGGGCGGGCGGGCTGCGCGCGGAGGCGGGGCGGCGGCCGGCGGTGCCTGCGCCTCGGCGGCGGCGGCTCGGCGCTCGCACACGCTCGGGGGAACATGGCGGCGGCGGCGGAGCCGGCTGTCCCGGGGCTGGCGGGCGGCGCGGGCGCGGTGGCGGGGACGCCGTCGGGCGCGGTGCCCGTGCTCTTCTGCTTTTCTGTCTTCGCGCGGCCCTCGTCGGTGCCGCACGGCGCGGGTTACGAGCTGCTCATCCAGAAGTTCCTCAGCCTGTACGGCGACCAGATCGACATGCACCGCAAATTCGTGGTGCAGCTCTTCGCCGAGGAGTGGGGCCAGTACGTGGACCTGCCCAAGGGCTTCGCGGTGAGCGAGCGCTGCAAGGTGCGCCTCGTGCCGCTGCAGATCCAGGTGGGTCCCGCCCGCGCCCCGCCGCCCTCTCCCTGCCGCCCGTCCCCGCCCTAGCCGCGCTCCTCAGGTGCCCGGAGCTGCCCAGGTTGGCGAGGGCCGCGCCAGCCTCCGCGGACAAGGCGCCCGTCCGAAGGTGACGGCCGCCAGCTGTGGCCGCCGGGGCAGGGGGCGTGGGCCTTCCCCGCCGGTGGCCACGGACGCCACCCCCACGTGTGTGGTCCACGGCGCCGGCCGCTTCCGCTTTATGTGCAGGACGCAGGTCCCAGCCTCCTGCGGAAGCCTAGGGCTGTGCCCTGGGGTCCTTGTTGCCTAGGGAGGTGAGGGGAAGCAGAAGCGGGGTGGTAGGGAGTGTGCGCCTTAGGACCCCCGCTGGGTTAAGTGCTTGCTTCTGGAAGGCAAACTTTGCCCTCTCTGCCTGCTCCCAGCTCCTGGGGATTTGGGGCTGCCCCTGGTTCCTATACCTGCACCCATGCCGGCCTCTTCCCAGTTCTGGGGCGACTGGCCCAGTCTTCCTATGCTAAAAGCCCTGCTCAATGCCCAGCTCATTACCAGACCCGGAGTTGCTGGTGCTTGCTGCCTGACAAAGTTGAACTTGAGGATTGCTTACTAGGTTTTGGCGTTTCTTGAATGGTGTTCTCAGATACGCTTTCTGTTTAAAGGTTTTACTTTTGTTTTTAATGTAAGCATTCCAAGGTTGAATTGGGTGCTGAACTGTCAGACGGATCAGCTATTCATTGGGGTTGGGAGAGATTCGCCTGTTCAGGTTACTGATTATCTTTCAGCTATAAAGGGTCTGCAAGATGGGTCTTTCTCGTCCCCACCCCCACACCTACCCGCAGAAGTATCCTAAGCAGGTGTAGGGTCCTGTATGAAACCTGAGATCCTGTTGCCTGCCGGTGGAGGCCCTAAGTGAATTGCCCTGTGGCCCACGTGCAGGACCACCGCCGGTTCTGGACTTGAGACTCCGGAGTCTGAAGGTTGAGGGCTCCCTGGAGCCGCTTGCCAGCCTGTTTAGATTACTGCTGCCAAAACACCCAGGGTGTTGGATTCACCTTTGACAAGCCCATTTGCAGAGAATCCAGATGCTAACCGGGGCTGGCCTGGGGACACAGACCTCTTTGTCCAGCAGCTGCTTTTATTGGGGACGGGGGGAGAGAGGGAGGTGGAGATGGGGAGAAGGGGACCCCTAGATGGGGCTGTGCTAACCTAGAACTGCCCTCCCAAGATGGCAGGGTCCCTGTTTAGTACATTTCAGGGCCTCATCAGTGTGATGATTCTGTAATTAAACCTTCTGGAAATTAATAATGTAAATGTAAGTGGCCGAAAGGTCTGCTCCATCCTCAGAAGCCGCTATGGAATCCAGGTCGCTCCCGGCTGTGGCTGGCGCTGCTCGGCACAGGGGAATATGCACCGAGGGTTTTCATGTGTAATGGTGTCTGAAATATTCATCACAGCCATTGCGTGCCTCTTTGCAAAGGTACTGTTCCTCGATCCGGGTTTTGACCTTTTACATGCTTTTTGGAATGGGCAGTTTTGGGAAATACTTTTCTTTTATTGTTATGTCATTTTGGAACTCGCAGTACTTGGCTTCAGCCAGGTGCTGCTGTGGGCTCAGGCGGGGCTCATGGGAGGTGGTGGATGGAGGAGATAGGGGTGCACACACACAGAGCACACGGACCTTTTCATCTTTGCGTGTGTGTGAAGTGAGTGTGCCCACGCCCCCTCGCTCGCTCTCAGGAGAGAAAGGTGTTTCTTTCCATGACTGCTGTTCAGGACTATGTTTTTGGGAACCCATCGTGTCATCTTAGTGACAGGGTTCTTTGTTGAGTGGCAGCTTTAAGAGAGTGAGAGCTTGGGGCAAGCCTGGGTTCAGTCCTGTGCCTTGCCTGGTAATCTGACCCTTGTATTTCGCAGAAGAATAGAAGCAGGTAAAAGGGTTCAAGGTTGCTGGTCCCAGGTGGCAGAGAGGTGGAATTTCTGTTTCCGGTTTCTGCTTCGTGCCCAGTGAGAACGCTGAGCAGCACAGAGCAGAAGTCACACACTTGAGCTTTTGCTGGTTCATTTGTCTTGCTCCTGCTCGTTGGTATTGAGTGCACGCATGGCTGTCACTCAGGGTACTCATGGTCAGGCCAGGCCACCAGGGATGGCAGTTTCCTTCTCCTCCAAGGCAGGGACGGGGGCACACATTTGGCTCCCTGGGGTCTGCTGTCTAAAGCAGGGGCAGGAGTGGAGCTTTCTCTGGAGATGGGCCCCGAGATCGTGGTGGAGCAGGCTTACACACCGTTGGACTCCAGGATACTTACCGCTGGTGTGGAGTCCTGCTTTGCCTGGACGCTCCTTTCTCACTGCAGTGGGCAGCCAGCTGGTGAAGTGAGGAGCCTGGCTGCGTGCTACACCTGCTGGTGGTGTTCTGTGTTCTGGAACTAATAGCTGTGACTGCCCTGCTAATGTTGGGCAGTGGGGACTCCTCCACGTCATGTTGTTGAAGCCCTCTAAGTGACTGGATATCTACTAAGAGTTTGAGCAGCTAGAGATATAGTTTCTACTTCATATAGGACTTGTCTCTCCAGGGGTTTGTCAAATGCCGTAAGTCTGATGCACTGGGAGCTTTGTGTGGGCAGAGGTGAGAGCTTCCTTAGGAAGGCCGTCTTGGCCTCTGCTGAGATGGTTGATGGGCACAGGATGGGCCTCCAGCTCCCCTGCACTGGGCGTTTTGTTGCTACCATCATTTTAAAATGGGGATGTGGACCCAAGTATTGGAAGGAGGGACATTGGGGCCTGCAAAGAATGGGGAAAGAACTCTGGGCTGCCTGTGGCTTGCCCCTTGGAGCAGGGCAGTTTTCAGTGCCAGGGCCTTCTCTCCTGGAGGGAGGCAGGCAGGGCAGGTAGGGGGGCTGGTGGTCAGAAGTCAGAGGGAGCAGGTGTGCTGCCAGGCATACTGCGTGGTGATGTTGGGATCCTCAGCAGAGATGTCCTGTCTCCTGTTGGTGTGAGGCGAGGGTGTGTATCCTGACCGCCTGTGTGAATACATTAGAGGCTGGTTGTCCGTAGAAGGTGTGTGAGAGTGGCCCTGATGGTCTGTTTGCGTTTGGAGGTTTTTTCCCTTTCATTTTGTCAGTGAAGAGAAACCTAAGGTAGATTCAGCATTTCTGTGTGTGCAGCTTATTAAGGTTTTAATAGTGAATGATACTTAACTCCATTAGAGAGTAAGGATTTAAGACTTCTTGATCAACTGATGAGCTGTAGCTCATTTAATTCTGAAAGCACCCTGCAAGGCAGATGTTGTGTTTTCTCCTTTAGCGTGGCATTTGTCCTTGCATTTGGGGACGTTAATGACTGACCGAAATCTATGTGATTCAAGTTGAGGTTTGGACTTAGATTCTGATGTCTACTGCATGGAAAATCCTTGTACCCTCAAGAGCCTCACCTCAGACAAATTGAGTCGAGGTTGGAGCAGTCCCTTCCATGTGGGAGGGTCCTCGGATGTCCTGGGAAGCACCTGGCAGTGGAAAAGCGTCCCCCTGATCTGCTGCCCATGACCCTGATGGGCGGATCATGCTGTTTTTGTGTCTGTAATAGATCTGCTTGCAAATGCATCACTTTAAACCCTGCTGAGGAAGATGGAGGACTACCGACGGAGGTTGGTATTTTCCGGAGTTGGTTCCTCCCAGGGATGTGAGAGAGGAAGGACTCCTGCCTTCTGTCCTAGTGTCCTTGGCTCCTGGCTGGTGGATGTGTCACATAGTCCCTCTCTGTGTCTGCAGAGTCGTCTCCTGTGTGTGTCTGTCCAGATGGCGCCCTTTTGTAAGGACATCGCTCATGCTGGGTAGGACGGCTGCCAGTCTGGTGTATATGACCCTTAGGTTAACCTGTAGCCTGACATTAGACACCTGCAGTGGCCCTGCCTGTTGGGGCCTTCAACGTGGGAATGTTGGGGGTCATGGTCCAACACGGCACCCAGAATGCATTGCTTTAACGGAGACTATGGACCCGATGCAGGCTGTGCCACGCAGCTCTGCCAGCTGCGCCATGGAAACACTCTCATGGAAGCGTTCATGATGGGACATTCATGGATGGGACGAGCTGATTGAAGATGAAATCTGAGGTACCATCTCAGCCTTGACAGTTTTATGAAACTGACCAAAAATATATGTGCTTCAGTCTGTTCACTTTAACCATAGCTTGAGCCAATCAATGGATGTGATAGACATTTTGTACGTAAGTGTGTATGTGTGTGTGTGAGAATAAACTTAGGTGTATGTGAAGGTATGTGTGTGTACATACATAAAAGAGTGCTCCCAGAGATTCATGGAAGAAATAAATTCAGAGTACAAAGTTTTGTTAGTGCAAAACCATTTTTCTTTAAATATTTTTGTTTATTTACTTTTTTTGGAAAGGCAGGTTTACAGAGAGAAGGAGAGACAGAGAAAGATCTTCCATCTACTGGTTCACTCTCCAGGTAGCTGCAACGGATGGAGCTGAGCTTATCTGAAGCCAGGAGTTTCTTCCAGGTCTCCTATGTGGGTGCAGGGTCCAGGCCACAAGCAAGGAACTGGACGGGAAGTGGAGCAGCTGGGACACAAACCTCTGCCCATATGAGATTCTGGCGCTTGAAGAGGGAGGACTAGCCAATTGAGCCATGGTGGCAGGCCCACAAAAACATTTGAAATTTATGCATAGATTTTTTTTTTCATCAAATGCATTTCACACATATTTCGCAACAAATTGTTATCAGATAAGCTCATGCTTTTAATTCTGTATTTCCATAGACTTTTTTTTCCTTAGGTATCTTGTATGTCATCTGTATTATGTGTGATTTCTTCATGCTTCTTGAGTAATGGCTCCGCTTTTGCTTGTCCTGGTCAAGGCCCCTTTGAATCTGCTGTGGTAGGGGGTGATGATTGTAAATGGTGACAGCTGGCAATATCTAGTTCTCTGAACGATTGTGGTTTAAGAGAGTTTCGTGAGGCACAATAAAAAAAAAATGTGAGTGACACGGCCTTGTATCGTTTTCACAGCAGCTGATTGCGGATAGTCAAATGGATTTGGGGTGGGGGCAACAGAGGGTTGGTTGGTGATGGTTGGAGAGAGGTTTCCGGTTGGTTTTTACAGCCTTACTCCTCTTCCTTGGCTTGTACTCATGGAGTGGCATCCTGGCTCCAGCTGCCATAGCCAGGGATGCCTTTTATTTCATGTTTGAAGAGGTTTTGCGTTTCAGAGTGGCTTTAGATGTCCAGCAGCACTGGGAGGGCTGTGTCCCTGCATCCGCTCCCTCTGTTGGGAGCATCTTTCCTTCCAGCAGCTCGTTTGTTAGGATTGGGATCCACACTGCTACATGGTTCACTGAACTCCACACTTTATTTGCATTTCACCTGTTTTTCCCTCATGTCCCTTTTCTATTCCAAGGTCCAGTCCAAGATTCCCTGTTTCTTGTCTCGCCCCTGTTGACCGATCTGGGCTGGGACAGGCTCTGGCTTGTAGTATCCTTGGCAGATGTGCTTGGTAGGTGTTGTAGTCGTGTGTCCCTCCACTGCGGTTTGTCTGATTGGGACTGTACGACATCAAGAGCAACATTGTGAAGGTCATTGTCGGTGCATTGTATCCAGGGCCCAGTCTATCAGCGTGGCATAATGAATCGCATTCATCATGAGCTGGCCTATAACTGTTGGCTGGAATTCTTCTGTTCTTTGCTCAGAAGAAGCCAGGGAATACCGCCCCTTCCGGGGGTGTGCTGAGATCTGAGTGAGGTGGGCTGAGCTCACAGAATGTCCACGGAGCGTCCCTGGTGACCTGCGCCTGTGTCCTCTGCGCTGTGGTGTAGCTAGCGTGCCTCGCCACGGCCTTCCCTGTGGATTCTTTGTTGGAAGCTTATCAGTGAGTTTCCATCCTACAGTGTCTGTGTAGGGCTGCGAGGGTTCCACAGCCGTGTTCTCTGACCCCCTCGACTGGACTGTGAGCACAGGATGTACAGCACAGGACTGCACACTCCTGGGAGGAGGCCCCGGGGACCCCCCATGCAGGAGCCACAGGAGACCACCATGCCCTGATGATGGGCGCTCTCCTGCGACCCTCACTTCTGTGGCTGTTTTATCATGCAGGACTTCTGAAACATTTATGTAACTTAACATTTTGCTAATGAATGGAGAACAGCCTGTTCCTCCCCCACCAAAGCCCTTGATGTTCTCTCTGCTGTTAGTATAGTTTGCATCCCTTATTTTTTTTTTTTTTTTTTTGCAGTCAGCTGTCATTTGTATTTCTTGCTGCTCTCATTTGGTCTGCCTCTAGAAGTTTCCTTTCTGATGTGCTTTTTCTAGCATCTGTGAATTCAGTATCTATACAGCCAAATCACGGGGATTGCACGCAGAGGTGAATACAGGCTGCCGGGGGGCAGGTGGCAGGGGTGGCATCCAGCGTGCGGTGGTGACAGGCCGAGTGCCCGAGAGGTTTGCTGTTTGGACGTGTCGGTCCTTGCTTGTTCCGGATTCACTGAGTTGCTTTTCTGTCACCTCACAGAGGCCTGAGGCAGGTCAACTGTTGTGTAGACTACACTCTCAACCCTTTTGTGAATGACTAGGAACCCATGGCTTAAATTTATGCAAAGAAAAAACGAGGCTGTTCAACCTCCTGAGCCAAGATGTAATATTTTTTGGGAATTTGAAGTGCTTAGGTATGAATCCTCACTGTCCTTTGGAAACCAGAGTCCCGAACGCACACAGCTTGTCCTTGGCAGCCCTCATGTGCACACAGCCTGCTCACTCTTTGTGAAGATGGTCAGAACCGAGGCTTAGTTCAGTGTTTGCAGAAACGCGGTAAGGAAACAGGCGGAGCTGGAGTGTAGGATCCGTGATGCTTGAATGACTGTAAGTTTGACTTTCTGAACCTGCATTTAAGTCTTCTCATTTACTTCTTACTACTGTAGCAGTCTTACTGGTTTTTTTTTTTTAATTCCTTCTTTTCCAAAAGTCATTAATTTACTTATTTGAACCAGGCCGACGAAGAGGAAGAGAAACAAAGATAGAGAGAGCTTTTTTTTTTTTTTTTTAAGATTTATTTGTTTTTTACTGCAAAGGCAGATATACAGAGAGGAAGAAAGACAGAGAGGAAGATCTTCTGTCCGACGATTCACTCCCCAAGTGGTCGCAATGGCCAGTGCTGTGCCGATCTGGAGCCAGGAGCCAGGAACCTGCTCCAGGTCTCCCACATGGGTGCAGGATCCCAAATCTTTGAGCTGTACCCTGGATTGCTTCCCAATTGACTGCTGCACTTGGGGCTCAGCCAGACCGTCAATAGGAGCAGATTGTGTTGATAGATGTGGATGTCTTGAACTCTTTGGTCCAAGAACTTATTTTGAAATAACCTTCAGTAAATGTGTTCAAATAGTGTGAGACATACAAGGAAGGCTGAAGAGAAAATACTGTCAGTGCCCCTAAAAACACTTGTTAATTTTTCATGTATTTTTCAACTTTTACGTTCATGACTTGAATACGTTGCTTGAATACTATCTCTTGTGTTAAAATTAGCATTGAACAGATTCATAGATATGCTATGTGTGGCCAAAGTTGTTTTGTTTGTGGATATGTTTTTTTTTTTTTTCTGCTAGACTTCAAAGAACTTCTTTGGGATAATGTTTGTAGAAATGGCTTACTGGATCAAACAGTAGGAGTATTTTTTCCCCTCTTTATTGGCCTCATTGAAAATAAATACCATTGAATAACGAGCACTAACTCATTCTTTTTGTTTCCCCCTCAGCTCACCACTCTGGGAAATCTTATGCCGTCAAGCACTGTGTTTTTCTGCTGTGATATGCAGGAACGGTTCCGGCCAGCCATCAAGTACTTTGGGGATATTATTAGCGTAGGACAGAGACTGGTAGGTCTTACATACACATGGCAGATATTCTTATGTACACACCCATGCATGCTGCTAATGGCTTTTCTGTTGATCTTTTTTTTTTTCAGTTGCAAGGGGCCCGGATTTTAGGGATTCCAGTTATTGTAACAGAGCAGTATCCTAAAGGCCTTGGAAGCACCGTGCAAGAAATCGATCTAACAGGTGTTAAACTGGTGCTCCCGAAGACCAAGTTTTCCATGGTGTTACCGGAAGTGGAAGCAGCATTGGCAGAGATCCCGGGAGTCAGGAGCGTCGTGCTGTTTGGAGTAGAAGTGAGTTCCTTGATCTCGATGTGGGCACACAATAGCATTTGTGTGAGGCTCAGTATTTCTACAGGGAAGCTTTGTGGGCAGCATGCCATGCAGGTCACCCTGATGCTGACAGATAAGTGTTCGCAGTTTGCATAGTACCGATCCAAGAGTACTAACTCCTTCAGCCCTCACAAAGAGTCTTTGAACTAAGCACCGCCACGTGGAAACCCTCTGAGGTCAGCACTGCTGATCTGCCTGTGCTGCAGAGCAGGAAACAAAGTCCAGCTTGCCCAGGCTCCAGCAGCTGGTCAGGTCAGGGTTGGAGCTGGATGTGAAGGCTGGCGGATGGATCCTTGGGCTGTACTGGAACCACTATTTTTGGAACCCTTGTTCACCAAAGGCATGTCTACGTGCATGTTACAGGATTCCACTTTTGTCATATTTGCACTAGGAAAAGCATTGAGATCCTGTGCTTCAAATTTGTGCCATGAACACACCCTTTTAAAGAACAAAAATATGCTTACTCCTGCTTATGTCAGCTGATATATTGCTAGCTTTAACGCAATAGATGTACCAAGAATTAAAGAATTGTGAAAGCTCAGGAAACAATGAAATATATTTACTATACTTGTGAAGTTTTGAGAGCAGGATTCAGTTGTAGAAAGATGTAGCGTCTGTTGGATGTACGTTTTGTGTTTCTGTGAACTGAATCCAGTAATGACAGTGTGGAAGAAGCCTGTTTATATACACGTGTCCTCCCAAATGCTGGCTTTTTGCTTGTTCGTCATGATTAGACCTCATGTTCCATCAGGATGATCTGCAAGCAGTCTTGCAGTGCTAATTTTAATGAAGCGTCAGTTGATAAATCTCCCAAGCTGTCTTGTCATGGAAAGATGAAATTGGCATTGTGGCATCGCTGAGCTCCTCCTTCACTGCGTAATTCAGTTGTTGTCAGCGTACATGCTGGGACATGGTACTGCGTTAGTGTTTACAGCGATAGGCTCTGCACGCCACAGTTGCAGGTGATGGAAACTGGGCATCTCCCGCCCAAGTCGTGGGCTATTTTTAGCATGGCCTGCCTTTCCTACCGGGTGCCTTGTCATGGCTCACTTTCCCCCACACATTCTCACCCTGCAGACTCAATCTTGGAGTTTGGCACTTGGTCTGAATCCAGAGGTAAAATCAAATGCGGGTGCCATCCAAGCTGAGTGGCTGTGCCAGCCAGGTGGGGGTCACGGGGATGATGTGGGGGGGTGCGCTTCAGGGTCCCAGCGTGAGAGGCGCAGCTGCAGTCCAGTTCCTCATCTTACAGAGGAATAAGCCGATGGCAGAAGTGCTGTGTTCTGCTCAAAACAACCTCACTGAGTGGAGGAGGAACGAGGTGCAGAGGAAGGCCGTTGGACTTGCAGGGCAATTCTGCTTTTCCGTGTTGTCAATGAGTGTAGCTGGGATGCGTCAGCTTGCCTTGCTCTGATCTCCGCTTTTTGCTTTCCTACAAGACTCACGTGTGCATCCAGCAGACGGCCCTGGAGCTCGTCGGCCGTGGCATCGAGGTTCACATCGTTGCCGACGCCACCTCCTCCAGAAGCATGATGGACAGGATGTTTGCTCTGGAGGTAACTGTGCAGCTTAAAAATGGATCGTTTACCCAGTTTGCTGAGTGAGTGGGAAGAGTGTTGAATATGGAGTCCAGCGGAGGCTTGACCTCTGAAATTTAAGCCTAGTGGGACGGTGTCCCCCAGACTGGTTTCCAGCCACGTGGGGGCTCCCTGAGCGACCTGAGAGGCGTCACTAGTGTGTACTGCTTTGCATCTTGTCTATTCCCTAGGACTACGTTCTAGCAAAGCCCAGAGCTCCTGGGACTACCTTGTTACTCTTCTCTTGGTTTTTTTTTTTCCATGGAGTGAAAGATTTCAGGGAGCCTAAGCTTTACAGTGAAGAGATTTGCAAATTAAGGGCAAATGGACTGGATTTACCTCAGCTAAGACCTAACCCCAAATGAAGGCATTGAGGGCAGAAGCCTGGTCCAGCCTTACGCCCCATTTCCTGACTTGAATGTCTAAGTGTCCCGGCCTGGATCCCACACAGTGTGTCATGGCTCTCAGGCCTTGCTGCATCACAGTGTGCCACAGGGCACTGATAAGTGCTTCTTTGTCATCATTGCCCAACAGTCATCTTGTGTAAGCCGTTTCTATGCCAAGTCTATTAAAGAGCAGGCCGTTCCATAGTTCCAGGGAGCCTGCACTGCAACTTGGGAGCCTCTCGCCCTCTTTCTCTCACATATGTAATTCTAGTCCTATAATAATTTCAGAGCCCCGTGCATGTTGATTTAACTGCTGAGTTCTTTCACTGTTATCTGTAATAAGAATATAATGAGCAGAGGGACTCGAGATTGTTCTAATGAGCTCACAAGGTGTCCCCAGCTGGCCCAGGAGCTGCTTTCTCTGTAGGGTTTGCTCCGTGGGCTCTTTAGCCTGAGGTGTTCTCTAGGGTAGTGAGGGGGCATGGATGACGAAGGGGCATTGGGGTGGGGATGGGTGAGCTGGCCGCAGGCAGATGGGCCTGGCCCACAGCTCCAGTGCTTAGGTCTCGGTTGGCCATGCCTGCAACCATTGAGTGTTGTGCTGAAATGACCAAGGGGAACAGTGTGAGTGACCATGTCAAACCATGGTCAAGACCATCTGTGCTATTCCCTTCTGGGGTAGTCAGGTGCTCAGGTTCTGCTGTGCCAGCCATGGACTTTAAGCCATTCTCACGGTCAGGAGGGAGACAGCTGCCTTTCTCTTAGCGGCAGCCATATACACCCTTGCACTGTCGGGTCTGCCCTGCCAGCAGCAGGGTCTGAGGGGGCAGACTTTGGTATTGGGAGGAAAACAAACAAAAATCTAAAACTTGTAAGGCAGAACTTTTCCTGCCTGGAAGGCAATTTCATGGACTTTTCTCCTACGTTCTTAAGTGTCCCAACATTTCTTTCTCACGGCATCCATCATGGAACATTGGCTGGCTGGCATTACCGCCTTCCCATGAGACTCGGATGACAAAGATGGCTGAATGCCACCTGAATCTCACCCTGGAAGAAGCTGCCTGTCATCTCGGGGTGGAAAGTCCGAAGGCTTGGGCTGCTTTTGGAGAAACTGTTTTGACTGTAGTTACTTTCATGAAGTTAGTCTCCCTAGAAATGTATGCAGAGGTAAAATCCCAGGCTGAGAAGGAGCTCCTGTGAGTGAGTGAAGAACCTGGCGCCTCGGGTGGGTGTGGAAGGATCTGGATCCAAGAGCGTCGCCCGGGATGACAGTGAGACGGTCCAGAGGGGGCAAAGCATCATGGTTAGGTCAGATGGAAATGAGAAACATCTGTCACTTTGCCGATTCTTCTCCTTAGTTTTCATGTTACAGAGGTGATCTAGTTTGTCCCGACATTTAGGAGAAATGTTTGCTTTTTGCTTATTAACTGTGACAGTTAAACCAGTAGTTTGGCCAGCTTCTTTATTCTCTGTCACCTTGGTTTAAAATACAGCTGAGGCCCTTCTTCCAGCTGTGCAGGCCGCATGCTGGGGTGATTGGACCAGCAGCCTGCCTGGGGAGTGCAGTTAACTCCTGCCTGCCCCGGGGGCGGGGGGGGCTGCATCACATGCTGTGCTCAGTAAGTGTGGCCCGGGCACCTGCCATCTGTCAGGCAGCTGGCATTCAGCTCGGCAGCACTCACAGCACACTGAATCCACCCTCCCCTGGACTGGCCGTTCTGTACTTGGATTGCTTGGGACTTGAACGGATGTATGTTCCCCCGCTCCCCCCACCAAGCCTTTGTGCTCTGTGTTTTTAGGTTTCTAGGTCAGAGTACCCTTTACTTTCCATTGGCCTAGCTGGACTGGTTTGGCAGGTGTAAGGGCAAACTCCAGGAGCCTAACGCACATGGGCCTGGTGTGCTCTTAGCAGTTGAGTTTTCAGTTCTCCTCTCCCCTTTTTCATTTATTTGTTTTAATTGGAAAATCAGATTTGAAGAAAGAAGGAGAGACAGAGAGAAAGATCTTCTGTATACTGATTCATTCCCAAGTGTCCGCAATGGCCAGAACCAAGCCTGTCTGAAGGCAGGAGCCTGGAGCTTCTTCTGGATCTCCCATGTGGGTGCAGGGTCCCAAGGTTTTGGGCTGTCCTCGACTGCTTTCCCAGGCCACAAGCAGGCTGGATGGGAAGTGGAGTAGCCGGGACATGAACCAATACCATATGGGATCCCAGTGCTCATAAGGCCAGGATTTGCCACCAAGCCATCCTGCTGGGCTCTCAGTGCCCTCTTTAAGCCCAAAGGCAGAAGGGGCCTAGGGACCCCTGTGGAGGGCAGAGGCTGCTGTGGGTGTCTGACTGCTCAGGTTCCCTTGCAGGTTGAGGCAGGTGCCATGGAAGGATCTGTCAGCCTTGCATTCTGTTGAACCATACCTTTCCATAACACAGGTTCTTGGCCAGATCATTTGAAATGCAATCAGCATTGGTCACACCCTGTCGAGCTCAGCAGTGCTATTTAGGGGTCATCTGCTGGAATGTGTTTTTGTGAGTGTCCAGACTGCCCGTGCCACTGTGACTGAACTCTCCTGCCTGTCACTGAGCCATGCAGGGGCACTGGGCACAGCTGGGCCTGGAGGACAGCCTCTTCGTGGCAGAGAGATTCCTGCCTTGGACTTGGGAACAGCTTTCTTCCATTCCTGCCTCACCAGGGAAGGAGGCTGAGTCCCTGCCAATCCAGGAGCAGTGAAGGGGCAGCTGGTTGGTGTGGTAGTGAGGCACCTGCACCCCACAGCACAGGGTTCAATTCCTGGTTCTGGTTCCCGACCCCAGGCTCCTGCTAATGCAGACCCCAGGAGACAGCCAACCATAGGGCTTAAGTATCTGGGTCCCTGGCACCGATGCACATGGCTGGGCTGAGTTCCTGGCTTCTCGCTTCTGCCTAGCATAGCCGAGGACATTGAGACCGCGTGCCATGGACACGTGGGGATTAGTCAGTGCGCAGACACTCTTTGCTCTCTCTTTCCTGCTGTCCAGTAGATAAATGAGAGATAAACACCGGCAGAGAGCAGTGACGGAGTGCTGGACAGGCCAGGCAGTGGTGAGGGTGAGCTGGGGCTGGGCTGGTGGGTGTTGGAGGATCGTTCCACACCCTGGGCCAACAGCTAGCTGTATTTTGATTGCCTTCCTTTCTGTCTGGAACAGGCCCGGGGCCTTCTGATATCTGGGAGGTTTTCAGTGTTAGAATCAGTTGCCCAGCAAGGAGGAGGAGGGAGAGCTTCCCTCAGCTGACTTCCCTTGGCATTTGCCAGAGTCTATAGGGCACAGCTGGAGTGATCTGTCACCTCTTGCCATGTCACTGGCTGCTGTTTGCTAGCATGTGCGGGCCAGCACAGCCAGGGTGATCTCTGACCCCTCTTGGCATGTGTTGGCAGCTGCCCCGTGCCTTGCTTGTGGCTCATGTTGGCTCCCTGGGATGTGGGGATGGCTGTCATTGCCCTCTGTGTCTTGGACAAGGTGGGTGGGAAGGAAGCTCCCGCAGGACCAGTGGCTGTGTCGGCCTTCTGGCCCTGCAGCTTGGGTCTCCTCTGATCGCCCTGCGAGTCATTCCTAACTGTGTGCCCTCTAGTGGGTGCTTCCTTGGGTACAGGCTTGCCCGTTTCTAGCCATTTCTGAGCACAGGTGTGTCTAGAGAGTGGATCTCTGCTGTAGAGTTCTCTTCCCTGGCCCCAGCTCTCCTTCCCCTCCCCTTTCTGTTCCTCCTCCTCGATGCTCCTTTTCTTGGTTATTTTAACTCCACTGCACCAGTTGGGTAAAGATGTTCTTTAAGCTGCCAGCGAACCTTCAGTGCAGCCTTAGGTTGTATTCTTGTCTGAAGCTGCCTCATGGTTGGCACTCATGGTTGCATTATCCCTGGGTGACGGCACGTCTGCTCCCCCATTCCTGCAGACAGGAACTCTGCTAGTGGGAGGGACTTACAGGCTGTACGCTGGATGATGGGGAGCAGGAAGGAGAAGTTCAAGGTCCTTTTCATTCTGACGTTAGTTTTAACGCATGAAAAGTTTGAGTTACATGGAATTGGGTCATACATTAGAAATAAAATATTCCAGACTTTAGTTGCATCCAGAGGTCAGCTCTTGGAGCCTCAGAAGTGGGTTACCCCTTTGTTGTTGCTTTTGGATGAATAGCCACTAAGTGCCAGCTAAGGTACTAAGTAAGTACAGCTATAATCAGAGCTTTGAATAGCACAGGAGTTGCATGGCCCAGTGGGAAGTGTAAGTGGAATCAGATTTTCTTAATCTCAAGACAAGGATGAGTTGTAATAAAAGGGGTTAATCCATTCAGCAGTAAGTCCAAAGCAGTCTTTGAGGAAGGGAGGGAGGGTTGAAGCAGTTGTTGGCTGGTGGAAAGGTGTCTGGGGTCACAGCGCCGTCCGCCCCGTCGGGTTCTGCAGGGAGGACCACAGTTCACCCTCCTGCCTCTGGCCTCTGTGACCAGGTTGTAACATTGATTACCTGTTTTCTTTGGGGTGTTTTTGTTTTTTTTTTATTGGCTTGCACTGCAGTGTACCAGTATGAAAATATGCACGTTGAGTTTGTGACAGGGCTCATGTCCCTGAATTTGACACTGTGACCTTGGCTTTGCAGAGGACATTCATTGCTGTGTTTCATTGTTATTTGCTCAGAAATAACCTTCATTCTCACGCCCCTTTCTCTGTTCGTGTTATCTTCCCTTTGCAAGCGCCTTGCTCGGACTGGCATCATCGTGACCACCAGCGAGGCCGTCCTGCTGCAGCTGGTGGCTGATAAAGACCATCCCAAATTCAAGGAGATCCAGAATCTAATTAAGGCCAGCGCTCCCGAGTCCGGTCTGCTCTCCAAAGTCTAGGACGGTTGGAGGACGGCTCTCCCGCACACTGCCCGGGACAGGACTGTAAGCCAGACAAGTACTCTCGACTCCACTAGAATAAAAACGTTCAACCCCAAACGGCTCCTTTTCTGCCCCTCTTAGTGCCACCTCACCGGCTAGACCACCTGGAACCAGCGTTTAGTTATAGACGTCCCAGGCTTTGGGTGCTGCTGCTGCTGTCCGCCTTGGTTTCTCGATGTGCTTTTATTTATTCAAGAAGAGTTTCAGTAGAGGTGCCTGACTTGTCCATATTATGTACGCATCACAACCGTCAAAGGAAACACTCTTATGTTCTTCAATTGTGTGTTAAAACAAGCGTAGCCATAATGGTTTGGTTTGTCTGTATTCGTGAGATGTGCAGTACCTTGTCCTTGTGGGTTCAGGGGTGTCACAATGCAGGTTGGTTGACACTGGATCACTGTTTGGGTGTTTGAAGGGAGGGCTGTGTTACAGGGTCCCCGTGTCCCTCAACGTGGTGTCCACTTATGAAGTGAGTCAAATCACTCACCAAACCAAATTCTGACGAATAATTACAGCTCTTTCTTGAGTCTGCTGATTTGCTGAACCTGGTCGCCATGACTGACGCCCTGGGAGTGTCCGCTTCTTTGAGCCTGAGCCTTTTGCTGGAAGGACTCCTGGGGCGTGGCTTACTTCCCCGCGTCGCGGACGGGGTGGATGGTTGGAGTTGGAGGGCTGTTTCAATGACTTCGAAGTGCGACCTTTATGAACATCTTGAATGCTGCTACTCCTAGAATATTCAGGGTTTAGCCAAGCTATAAAGGGAGGGGGGCGCAAAAAAATGTAGTTTTAAAATACCTGTGTTCTGTTCTCTCGTCTCCGCTTGGCCTCCAGATCCTGCCAATGCAGGCACCACTGATAATTTGGTGATATTAATTTTGTGGTCATCATCACCCTTTAAAAATTTATTTTCCTTAAGTACTTATTAGAAGGTTTTAAAGGTGTTTTTTTAAAAATCTGTGGTATGTGGAAACAGTGCTGTCTTTTCTACAATAAAGTGATTAAAGGAATATATTATGTGAATGAAAGTCATTGTGTTCCCTACAGGATGGCTCTGGCGGCAGCATTCCAGGGATTCCAGTATTTGTTTAAAGGTAATAAGCTTTTGGAGCTTCGCAGGAGCTATCAGAATGAAGCTCTTCACAAGCAGCAGCGCGTGGCTGTTCCAAAGGGCCTTGGTCACGATTTCAGGCAGGTGGAACACTTTCCTAGTTTGTTTTCCGTTTGTCAGTGGTTACGACCTGCCGCCCAGCATTCTTCTAGGTTTGTTGAAATGAATTTGTGGAGCTGTGTGAGTGTCTAACGGAACGGGGGATGTCTGCTCATTCTGAAGTGGTTTCTAATGAGTATGATCTGTGGCTGAAACTTCAACATAAATGCACAGAGCCTGGGGACACTGTGCAAGAGCTGCCCCCAGCTCAGCCGCTCTGCGCCGGCCCCGAGGCGTGCATTTTCACAGCTGCAGTTTCTGCCACGGCTGCACCACATGGCCCACACGGGAGTAAGGAATCTCATTCCCAAGTGTCTTCCTGCACTGCGCGTGTCAGGGAAATGCCAGCACGGTGAAGCGCCTCCCCGCTGAAGCCAATTCCATCAGCCTGGGTTAATTTCCTGTGGCCCGCCACAGTGATGGACCACAGTGAGTGACCCGTGTCCCGGCTCAGGCACGCTACCCGCAGCTCTGCAGGCGGCTGGCCCGAGAGCTGTGTGAGTGGCATGCTAACATTCCCGGCTCTTCCACAAGTCCAGCTTCCACCTCCTTGTGCTCCAGCAGAGCCTTCCTCTTGCCTGCTCTTGGCTCGCACGCTGGTGTGGTGTCAGGTGTGCTGGCCACGCACCTCCTGCTGTCTTTGATTCCATTTCCATGCTAACACTGTTGTTATCGGGCCCAGCGTGCGGGACACGAGGGGACCTGGGGGGCCTTGCGTGTGAAGGAGCCCTCAGCTCCTCTCTGCTGCGTCTCAGGTGTCACCGTTCCCGTTTGATTCCAAGTTCCCTGACGATGGCACCTGTGCGTAAGGAGAGTTTTCTGGAAACAGGAGACGCTACTAAGTACTGAGTGCCGTACTTCGGTTTTACTCTGTGCTCAGAAGAAAAAGATGCCCTTAAGGAACTCGGAGTGTGGCCAAAGTCAGACCTGTCACAACCTGTCAGTACCGGGAACCAATTAAATTAGACGAAGGGTCCTGCAGTGTCAGCCGCTAGCACTCAGCATCATGTCCTGTGCACGCTGCTTTCTCCCGTCTTAACTGTAGCTAAGGCCAAGCAGGTTGACAAGGCTTGATTATTACAGAAGCACTGAATTGATTTGAATACATTAGGTCTTGAAGTTGGAAGCGTGGGTAACCTGTTAATTGATAAAAGCAGGGAACATAAGAGCAGTCTCAGGAGCAGGACCGAGCAGCCTTGTCTGTAAAAACTTGCAGAGAGGCAACCTATTCTGCTCAGAAAACCAAGCACCCTGTTGCATCAAGTGTCCCGTTTGTCAGTTTAGCAGGAGTATTTCCTTTTCAGGAAGATGATGTTTGGCTACGTGTGACTGGACAGCCGGAAGCAAAGATCATGGTCTCCACGCTCCGATCCATCGCTCCCATTCTGAAGTCTCCTTGGGTACCAGACGCAAGCCAGGAGGCTGGGCCAAGGCGGGAAAGCGGTTTTGCACAGCTGAGCGGCGTGGAGAACTGCGGCTAGGGGGCGCCGTTCCTGAGTGTTCTTAGATGGATAGCACAAGGGGAAGGGGAGCATGAAAGTGTACAGAAAAGCGTAATATTTCAGTGCCTGTACACTGCTGTCCCTGACTGGTACCGACATCTTTCCCTGGCCGAGGCTTCCTAGGGGTTTCCTCGATGCGCGTCCTGTAATTTGGGGAAATGAGTGGTGGTCGTTGAATATAGTCATCTTGTCCTTACCAGTTGATTTGTGTTTGCTATTCCTGGATGGGGCAGTGTTATCACTTAACCCTTGCTTTAACATGTGGGAAGGCTGTAGGCAGCTCTAAGAAGATAATTTGATGATTTGCATATGATTGAATTGGATTTTTATAAATGCTTGTCTTTGGGCCCAGCGCAGTAGCCTAGTGGTTAATGTCCTCATTTTGCACATGCCGGGATCACATATGGGTGTCGGTTCTAATCCCAGTAGCCCCACTTCCCATCCAGCTCCCTGCTTGTGGCCTGGGAAAGCAGTCGAGGACGGCCCAAAGTCTTGGGACCCTGCACCCACGTAGGAGACCCGGAAGAGGGTCTGATTGGCTCAGCTCTGACCATGGCAGCCACTTGAATAGTGCTTCATTGGACAGAAGATCTTCCTCTCTGTCTCTCCTCTCTGTATATCTGCCTTTCCAATAAAAATAAATAAAATCTTTTTTAAAAGGTTGGGGTTTATACATATTTTTTTAAGGATTGCTTTGTTCTTATCGGAAAGGCAGATTTACAGAGAGAAGGAGAGACAGCGAGGTCCTCCATCCGCTGGTTCACTCCCCAGATGCTACAATGGCTGCAGCTGAGCTGATCCTGAAACCAGGAGGCAGGACCTTCTTCCGAGTCCCCCAGACGGGTGCAGGATCCCAAGGCCTTGGGCCACCCTTCCCCGCTTCTCCCAGGGAGCTGAATGGAAAGTGGAGAAGCCAAGACATGCGTCTGGGATGCCAGTGCTGGCAGGTAAAAGATTAGGCAGTCGAGCCACCACGGCCTCCCCAAAATGCTGGGCTTCGAATTTCAAAATTGTGAAGTTCATTTTGCTGTTCTTTATCATGTGACTTGTTCTCAACTTCTGAACTCTACCCGAACATCTGACCATCTGCTAAAGAAAAACTGCTTTATCAGAAAGAATGCTTGAAACCTGCCCAGAGTGGATCTTGAATATTCTCACCCAGTACACACACACACGTTCTCTCTCTCTCTCTCTCTCTTGCACACACACACACACACACACACACACACACACACGCACGTTCACACAGACCACCCCGTGAGATGACTGATAGTCATTAGCCTTGCCGTGGCAATTATTTCACATTGTGTACATACACCAAAACGGCATCCTGTACATTCTACAACATTGTAGCTTTAATTCCTGTTACATCGTAATAAAGAAATTCAGCTTTGCCTTTGCAAGCGTGAGGATTTCTGGCCTTGTGGTTCGTAAATAAGCCATTACTTTCTGCTGAGGAGATGGGCTTGTTACAGACAATGATTCCCAACGGCCTCAGAGTCCCAGTTCCCTGCTGCGCACCTGTCTCCTCTCAGCTCTCCAATCAAGCACTAATCAAGGTCCCTCCTGGCATCTGTAAGGTTTTACGGCAGTCCGTAAAGCCCGGGGCACTTCGCCTTTAAATAGGGAGCGGTGTGGTGGGGCCAGGTGAGCCCGTGGAACTCTTGGAGCGTTGGATTCCTCCGCTTTCCCGTGGAAGGGAGAGGGCTGCGGCCAGGCAGCCCCCACGAAGCAGGCGGCCCTCTGGGTGGTACAACCCCACAGCTCAGCAAGACAGGAATCATGCCTGAGGGACACCGACTGACTGGCACGTCCGCCCTGCGTGACCCTGGGCGAGGAGTCCAGCCAGGCTGGGCTTGAACTTCGGACCGACAGATCTGTGAGTTAACACGTTTGTGTTTGAAGCCAGTTAACCCGGGGTCATGTGTGCCGCACACTAAGAGGATGATAATAGCCTTTGTTCACTGGTGGCTGTTACAAAAGTCAGCAGTCCGGGTTGTCTAGAATGAGTTGTCTTCCTCAGCGCAGGTGACTAAAAGGGAGTGAGTGCTAATGGGCCGTAGTGCTTGGAGAACAATTTCTCAATTAGATAGCATTGCTGCTGTTTAAATTTGATAGACCTTGCTAGAACATGGGAGTTTATTTCATTTCACAACAGACATGGCTGCTCTCGAACAACCCGAGGTATGGAGCTGTATTGAGAAAGCCCCTTCCCTTCCCCTTGGTCTCGGAGAGCTCGGGAAGAGGGTTTGTCGGTCGTCCGCGTCGCTCAATGCTGCTGTAAGACCTGAGTGCAGCTCAGGACCATCTAATGAGGCTAAGGGTTTTAGCTCGAGTCAGATCCTTCCTCTCCGTTGCCGCTCCTGCAGGAGTTAGCACTTGCATTTTCCGCAGCTGTGGGACATCAGCTGTGGATAACTAAGGTCCCGTCTCTCGCCCCGCAGCGCTGGTGGCTGAACAACCTGCAGGATTCTCCGGCCGCCATTTCTTTTAGGAAAAGAGCTTGCTGTCTCAGAGGCTCGTGGGCTGGCCAGCCGTGGCTCCTGCTCTCCCCCTGAGGCCCTCGCAAGGTGTTCCCCTAGTTCCCCATCTGCCAGCTTGGCCTAGCCGCAGAGCTGCTCTGGAGCCGGAACCTGCTCCCAACATAGCCAAACAGGGGCCTGGGAAAGACAGGGAATTGTCTCCCAGAAGCACCTGGCGCTGAGAAAGGGGGCTGGTGTGAAGGGAGTGGGGGCGTACGCTGTTACCTTCGTGGCGGAAGAGAATCAGTGAGAACTGAGGCGTGTGTCTCAAGCTTCTGCGTATCACGAGGGTTTCCTCTTTCGACTGTGGGTTTTTCATGAGAAACGTGGGAACTTCAGTCACAAGACCCTGAGGTTTGTGCCTGAACGGCTGAGGAGTGGCAGCTTAGCCAAGTGGACTGGAAAAGTTGACCATCAAAGGGATTGCTCAACACCTGTCTCTGAGAAGGTTGACTGAGACACGGCCTGGGTGCCTTCGCGCCGCTGTGAAGTTGTGTCAACTGGGGAGTGTCTAAGCAGCAGCGGTTTGTTCACCCCAGAGCAGGAGGCTGGGGAGCTCCAGATGAAGGTGCAGCTGCATTGCTGACTCAGAAACGTCTGCCCCACTAGCCGCTGCCGTCGAGGGTGGCAGGCACAAGGCTGCAGTCTGGGGCTTCTGGTCCGAGTATTCCGTCACAGGGCTGTTCTTGTCTCCAGTGCAACACCATCACATGAGAATTTGGGTACCATGAATTGGGCATGCTTTCTAACAACAACAACTTCTGTGCTTATCACAT